CTTTGAAAAGTTTTTGGGGGAAGGGCCTGCCGAATTCGAATTTTCGAATTCGGCAGGCCCTTCCCCCCAAAAAAAATTCCCGAGGCGGGGCGCGGCCAGTTTCCCGAGTGGCGCGACCCAGGCGTCAATTTTGTCGGGGTGGGGGCCCGCCGTCCGAACGAAAATCCGATTTTTTTTTTTTTTGCCACCCCTATTTAATGCTGTGCGTTGTGCGGTGCGCGGCGCTACGTGCGCAAACCGGCGCACCGACGTGTGCCGCAACTATGATCATAACCCATCTATCAGCCCCGCAGGCAGACAGAGACAAAGCAGCAAAGCATGCGTGCTCTACTCCCGGTGGGTTGGCATGGTGACCGTGACCCAGTGCTTCGTCCAGGGCCCTTCAGATAGCTCTGCCCTCTCCTTGCAAATGCTCCACATGAACAATGCCGACTTTCAAGGTTGAGCGCACTCGACTCCTCACATGAGAGGACTCTCAAGGCAGAACACACATCCTCACGGTAAGAAGTGTTGAAGAGGGTAGATACGGGAGGGTAGATAAGGTTAAGAGCAACGTACCTCAAAATAGCTGCCCCCAACTACAGGTATTCTCACCAGATGACCTGATGCCGATTGTGATGACCAACCGCTGCTTAGGCACAACCAGCATTACACCGCCAAGAGGGTAGATAAGGTTAAGAGCAACGTACCTCAAAATAGCTGCCCCCAACCACAAATATTTTCACCAGATGACTCGATGCTGATTGTGATGACCAATCGCTGCTTCGGCACAACCAGCATTACACCGCTGTTCCACCTCAGCATCAATAGCACATCAGATAGTTCTCATCACACTGCGAACACCCAATAATCACCCTGTAGCCTTCCTGGCGATACCCCTCTCCACCTGGGTCGCCTGCTTGCCTTCGCCCTCCTAACTACACACTTCCCACGGCCGCTCACCCAGCAGACCGCGTGCATGTACCGTAAAGGCAGAAGACAAGCGCCAGATTAGCGCACCGTACCACAACTCCGATACCAAAATGCAAGGAAAATGAGCGATAGCGAACTCCGAAAACCAATCAGGATCATACACATGAAACCAGATAGCCGTGACCTCGAACCAGAAGCAGAATTGCAACACGAGTTTTACCAAATAAGAGCACAGCAAAAGCTCACAAGTGACAATGTTGGAATAGTCTCATCATCATCAACAAAGAACCAATGTCGACATCCTATCTGGCGCTCCACGCCCAGACTACAAATGGCAGATCCTATCTAGCCTATCTACAATGCCGCTGGCGACGTCAACAGCTCCCCGTAGTACGAGCAGATCTCGGCCAATGCTGTTCGCCTCAAGCACCAGGTATGTCTCTCGCATCACTCACAACCTCGATCCCCCACTCACAGATGCCACGTGCACCCAAGGACCACCATGCGCCCCATCCAGCATAGTGCAGCACAGCTTGGCTATGGCCGCCTGCTCATCCAGCTCGCCGGTGAGCGCATGGGCTCTGGCCAGCGAATAGCGCAGCAGCGCTTGCGCAGCATGCAGCCAGTGCCCGAATGCCGAATGCGGAGGCAGGCACTTTCCTCAATGGAAGTGGCCTGCCTGCTGCGTGCGGCCTTAGCTGCACTGGGCCCCGGCCCAGAAGCTTCCGGTAGGCTCCGAGAGGCTGAGGCTCAGTCCGAATGAGTCAGGCCCAGGGCCTGTGGCGGTTACCCATGCCCAACTGCCCGCAGCCTGTGTTCAGTCCATGTTGCGTATCTGGACCAGGGCCTGCGTTAGTTACATACGATAAAGGCAGCCTGGGCCTGGGCGCTTTCAACCAACTGGCACTGCGCAACTGACTGAATTTCCCCAGTTGCGTGGTAGTCCAAAATAGCCCTCTCGGCCTGGGTCGGGCCTGCCTTCACTTAGGGCGGCTGACATTTCAGATAACAGGGTCCAGTAGGGCTTACCGAGGGCTTGCGCCTCGCACAGGGAAATGTGGGCCTCCAGGATCTTTCCAGCAACAAGGGCTGCGCTCTACAGTCGAGCCCAGGGCCGGGTGGTTGCGCCCTGGGCACACGCAGTGTGAGGCCGACACCTCTCGCAGCGGTCAAGAACAAATGAAAAAGCAGCATTGTCTTCAGACAGTCTCCATATGCCAATGAGAATGCGGGCAACACTTGGAGCCTGGACAGCTACCTGTAGCTGTGCCCAATCAAAAAGGGCCCAGGCCCTTAACTGTAGAAGTGGGGCTGGGCGCAGACACTGGGCCCCGACTGGAAACTACTGGAAACTTCCCCAGCCAGGCCCACCAGACACAGCAGGGGTTGCACTTTCCATAAGGAAAGAGGCAGCCCAGGGAAGGGCATTCTGGCCTTAGCAGGCAATGCGGACACGCTGCTGCGCTAGTGTCTGTGGGTGCATGCTGGTCGGACGCGCGCATGGGAGCAGAGGTGAGGGGCGATGTTAGGGCAGCAGGCGCACAGCAGCCATAGCCAGGCGGCAGCGGCACAAGGCAGGTGATGGCGAAGGTGGTCTTCGGGTAGGAGGCGTATGATGTGGGGAGACGAGGGGTGATGACGAGAGGAGAGAGAAACCTGGTGTATGCGGGTGATCGGCATTGGTGTTGACGTCACGTACATTGGTCTTCGACTTCAGTGTGATCCACTTGCGAGAACGTAGATAGGCTAGATAGGCTGAGAAGGATAGGCTGGGCGCTGGGCGCCAGACAGTAAGTGCAACATTGGATACACAGCTGGTGTGACCAGAGAGGGGGGACATTGACATTCAAGTTCATTGTATTGCTCTTATTTGGACAGTATCTTGGTGCATTGCACTCCCTGCTTGGTTCATGACTGTCTGAGCTACTGCGTGATTTTGCAGCTTGGATTTCTGTCTATCGCTCTTGCTCATGTTCCTTGCAATCTGCAGATTTAAAGACCATTTCTGTTACACCGACTTGTACAATCATGGCATCGGGTAAAAAAAAGAGGTACACCCATGAACCATTGAAATACAGACCTGAGTTCTGGATGAATATGGGTGTGTCAACAGAGCTACCCGAATAGCACGCATGTTCATTATACGGGTAGATCCGTTAGACACACCCATGAACTGCAGACATGAGCACAAACCCGCATGCATCCAGAAATAAAACAGAAAATTTGAAATTTCTGGGTTCCCCCCCCCCCCCATTCAGCTGGTTGCGTCGAGATTCAGAATGCCTGGTCATTATAGCTGTATATATATAGACAGAAGGTTGCACTGGATACAGCTATAATGACTGGGTGTTGTATACACGGGTGAACGCCAGAGGCCCGCTGGTCTCATGGGTTATTGTGGTCTTCCGCCAACCAGATCAGGGCCGCCATTGCAAAGACAGAGTTTTAATTCCCTTTTGAGAAAAGCAGATATGTTGTGGCCGTCACCCATCCACCTCTGCACTGCTGAGGGGTAGGTGCGTCTTGTGATTGAGCTATTTTAGTCTTTTGCCGACAAGTTACACAAATGCAAAATCGAACTCAAATGCGTCGAGGCTCAGTGAATGCACAGAGTTCATGACCTGCGACAGCTAGTGTCACAATCATCCTTCGCCAATGAGAACAGCGGGGCATATAACTGAGGGCACATTCACACTAGGCTTCTTTCACCTATTTCCGGACGTAACTCTGGTGGTTAGGCACATCCACGAATGGCCATAAACTCATTCCCATACAACTAAGATTCGAACTAGTGGGAGTACGCCCCAAGTTGAATTGGATGTGTGTGTGCGCATCTTCCACCTGTGCCCATCTTTTGTACTATTCGATTAAAAAAACATTCAGTATTGCATGTACTTTTCTTTCTATTTATTAGCATTGAATCTATTGATTAAAGGGGTGCTGGTGCTTGTGCCTGTATTCAACAATGTACTTTTCTTTCTATTTATTAGGATTGAATCTATTGATTAAAGGGGTGCTTGTGCCTGTATTCAACATGTGCCCATCCATCTTTGGGTGGGTGCACGTGGAGTCCATGGAGAAGACATTTGCAGGATGCAATATGCCGAAAAAACTACTACAAACTGGCTGTGTACTGATGTTAGTCAGATGAACGGGCTCTTTCGGGCACATGTTGAATACCTCTCTCTCTCTCTCTCTCTCTCTCTCTCTCTCTCTCTCTCTCTCTCTCTCTCTCTCTCTCTCTCTCTCTCT